GAAGGGAATAAGACAATCCAAGTATGAGAAGGGTACAAAGAGCAGGAAAGTATTGCAGAAAAAGAAATGGAAAGCGGATTGCAGATGCAGAAATCAGTTCTGTTGTGTGCGATATCTGATGTCTGGCGAAGAAGAAATTTGAGAGGGAGGGAGCTCCCCTTATATAGGCCTGCCAGCTCACTTAAGTGATCTTAGGAGGCTGATTTTTTTCGCTCGTTAGCCGAATCAAAGATCAAATTCCGGGCACTAAGATAGTAGCGCGAAGCTTCAACGTTGGGTTCAATTGTTAGCCGTGAATTTCGGGTAGTTAGTCTGAGTAAGGGCCATTAACAGTACGGCCCGAAGCTTGAACGATGCCAGTCTCTGTTAGCTTCAGTCAACAGCCAAAAGATTTCTTCGCAAGGGCTTTAAAGGTGCAACGCCTAGGTAGCCTGAAAGTCATAGGCCTCTATCAGCTTAGTACACAGCCCATAACTTTGGATGTATGACCAGCGCAAAGGCCACCAGGAGTGCAACGCACAGCTTGAACGTTACAAGTCTCTGTTAGCTTTCCTAGGTGTTCCAATTTCTTGTAGTTCATTTACAGTCGATGATGAGATACGCAAAATTGCGCTTGATGTCGAATGTCTGGTGATATCGTATATTCCCGCATTAGTTCTAGGATATTGGACGGCGAGTTCGATGAGTTGTCCGTCGCAGCAAGACCGGTTCTGGGTTGCGTAAAGATTGGTCTCGTCGGGCGCTCAACCGCTCCAATTGTTTTGCCTCTGACTGTACTGTAATAAGTTCCACGCTTTCAGAAACTTTATTCATATCCGTACATTTTGACATCAATATTTTTTTTTTCGCTCGGGTCACTTAGTCCACAAATAGAAAGCAAGGGCTTTTGAGGCAGAGTATCAAGGAAGTCTATCGATACTGTGATCTTCATTAAGGCTGTAGTTACTGTTGCGGATCTTTCTGAAGGTGGGGATATCCTCGCTGGCTATTGGTGAAGGGCTGTTGCGCAATGATGAAGTGTCGGAAGGCGCAACTATGGAGCCAGGCACTTGAACACAGTATAGCTCCGAAGCACTTTCTGCTCTTCTTTGCGATGGCTATACTATCTTTCCACCCTTATTCAGTAAAAATACCAATGTTCAATGTCTCTCGCAAGTCCTCCCTGTAGATTTTAGTATGCGGAGTAGAGTCACTCTACGCATCAGCACACACCGTACTGGCGCCCGTAAAGTCTCGGGAATGCCACCAAACTCTCTCTTTCTTTCGGCCTAACTGTGCGAGCTATTTGCGGGCCCAGCCGAAGACTACGGATATCTAGCCCTCCGGTCGCAATCAGCTAGTCATTAGCAGACATTGAGCAACGGCGTTTCGCATTGACACCACCCACTCACGAAGCTCCAAGAAATGGTACATTGTGTCACAGACCTCACTACCGGTATCTATCCATATCCTCCTCCACATGGGCCAGGCCCTTCTAGATGTGAAGACTATGGAAGGTAGGATACATGCCAAGCGCACTGGAAGGTTAGCTGGCTTCTTTCTTCTGCAGCTACGGGCAAGATAAGGCGGATACGGGAAAATACATGTGAGATCTAGATCCTACGCTTCCGTTTCCCGAAGATGGGGTGTAGGGCTAGATCTGGGCGGCTCGGGACGTCGCGAAAGGTGGGTGATTGATCTCCGAAAATGCTACAACTAGCGATGATTACTGTTGACTCTGACTCGAGGCGCGCTGAAGGTACAGCCTATGACTAGGAAAGTAACGGGAATGTGTCTAATAAATGGTGCTCTGGCAACGTGCTGTTGTTGTTGTTGTTGTTGTTGTTGTTGTTGTTGTTGTATTTATTTAAGTCGGGCGGGTAGCAGGCGAAGCCTGCCGCCCTGGGACCTCCCATGGGGTACGGCGACGTGCTAAGCTAAGGAGTTACATACAAGAAGGCCCTAGAAAGCAATTCATAGTGCTGTAGCGAGGGCTGGCAACGTGCTGTAGGCTGACGAAGCAAATTGGCGACGTGTTGTGACCCGTTAATGGCAAGTGCACACGAGGGCGGAAATTTTTGGCGTTGAGAATCTTTCGTGAAAATGAAATAGCCATAAGAAACTTCCGATCAAGTACTTGTGGATTCAAAAGAGCGGATCGAGGGTCGTTTCTCAGGCCAAAGACTTCTGGGTTAAGAGAGTAGGCCATACAGATAGTCCGTCTAATGGCTATAGTATCTTGAATCTTCTTTTCTCCGAGTCCCCGGTCGGAGTACAACGTTTAGCGACCAAAGCCCAGTAGTAAGGAATAATTCATTTATTGCAAAGTGTTACGAAAATTAACTACGACTAGATCAAGCCAACATATTTGAATCGACAAAGACACCAGGCACTCGCTATTCCAACATTTTCTCCAATATTTCTCAAATACTCGCGCCCGCCTTACCTTACTCCTGGTCTTGTTCCCCAAGCCACAACATGAACTGTGAACAGAGCCTTGAGCTTGATGAAGGAGTGATAATATCCAAACAAGATATATCCAGGAATCCACTAGTCATAGTCAGTATTGAGTTCGCTGCATTGAAGAAAGTTTTCCAGCTTACCAGAATATCCTTGGGATTGCGCCAAAAATGTGGGAAGGGCTTGATCATCTTTGACAGGAAGAGTATCCATGCCAGGATCGATATTCCCTTCTCCCTATCCATAAAGGAACCCCGTAAGCGGAACAGAGCCAAGTCCATATCTTCCCACCCCTCCCATAGCGTGATCAGAAGAGCAGCGTCGTAGAAAAGGGCAAAGTTGACAAAGCTGGACAAATAGATCGCATACACCGACCAGGGCTGTGTTCTCCAAGGAGTCTGGTCCGAGAGCAAGCTTGTCGAGTTGGACCGCCACGTTGTACGGATCCAACGATCCATCTGTTTGAAGAACTTTCCTGGCTCTCCGAGTGTAGTATGCATAGTACTCTCTTCCGAGTTCTGAAACCAGACTTTGTGTTGACCAGCACCGATTGTGAACCGGGTCAACAGATTATCATCGTCCACAGCAAAGCCCTCCCTCCCAACGGTACCAAAAAACCACGTTTCTCGGAGGTAATCGACTGCAAAACTTGGATGTTTCAAGACAGCAGTGCGATAAAACACTGTCCGGCCTGAAAGTACGAAGACTCCTTGATCAATGTTTGTGCTTGCTGTACACTCGAAATTGTGGCGCTCAAGATAATTGCAAGCAGTGAAGTTTAGGAAGTTGGCCCAAGTGAATTCGAATGGATCGCGGCGAACTCTCTTGTTCGTCCCAACTCCCCCGATTCTCGGATCTTCGAATGGCGCTAAAGAAGCCTTGAGATAGTTGAGCCCCCAGAATACATGGTCGTCTGCGAGTGCAACAATCTTGGTGTCGACACCGATGAGCTGCGAGTATATCTGCTTTCGCTTGCTGGCTTGCTCGATTGCCGAGACAGTTACACCTGTGATGCTACGGTCCGCAGGAGCTAAGTTGCGCACTTCTTCGTTGCAAACCCGTTGCGCAATTTCCATCTTCTCCCTGCCGACGGTGCAAACGATGATCTCATGCGGTTTATTGGCGAGGATTGTTCGCAATGTTTCTCGAAATTCGGGTTCGTCGATCGCACCCACGGTAGGGATGATTACCGTAACATCCTTAGCTGAGATTGTGGGATGTTCCGGAATGGCGTAAGGCCTGTACAGAAGAAAGGAGATCAGGTGTGCGACGACCTTGATATATTTGAAAAGGAACAGGGCTTCGAAGGCAATAATCCACCAGCCCTGACCGCGAAACTCCAGAAAAAATGACGACAACTTTTCCTCGTTCTGATAAGTCAACAGAAAGACCCCGAGAAACTGGAGAGGTAGCCAATTGATAATAGAATATGGTAGTCGGCAGGAGTTGATCAGGAAGGTTTGAACTCCATTTTTCAACGAGCCCCTTTCTGCGGTTGTGACCATTTTATTCGATCCTGATAGTGTTTCCAGAAGGTGTATCTGAGAAGTCGAGCTGAGAAACTATATAAGATGGTTCTCTAAACTATCTATGAGAATAAAAGCACAAGGACTCGGGGTCGGTAAGGAAATCATGAGCATAATGAAACTCCTGTCATTACAAAGGCCCTTTATGCTTCGGTCGCCGGAACAGTGTTTTTCAGTTAAAGTCGGGAAATTTCCTCGCTCGAATTCTTTGAGAATTCCCAAAGCCAGCGACTCGGCGAGTATGGTTATCCTTTGTCCACCCCGAAGCAAACAGAATGAGGTTTGATCACGCCATATCTCTTCCATATCGCTCGTTGCTAGAGAATATTAGTGAGACTCCTTTGAGTCTCTCAACGCTAAGAGCGCCGCATCCGGATGCCTCCATATCCGGAGGTGGTTGTGTTCTCAGAACAAAAGATTTAAATTTTGGGGGAAGTTCGTGTGAATGAATCTGATGGCACGAATTTGAAAGACTGGACTACATATTGTACAGAGTTTCTATGTATATCAGTACAGTGAATTAGCATACTGGAACGACTACGATTTTTTTTGACGTCGCTGCTGTGTTGCCTCTATTGCTGCAGAATACAGTCGGATGAATGCTCATACTGCGATTGATACATTGTGCTATTGAAGCTTTTATCCTTCGAGATATTCTCAGGACAGACTTCAGCCCTCAGTTGCCACTTTGAAAACATGATAGCTCATTGCAAAGTCGTCGGAGCCCCTAACAACTCCCGAGGGTTGTTTCATTAGCTCTTGAACATTGTCTATCAATCATTGTCCATGACAAAGTGTTTGTTCCAGAACAGTTGTTCAACGCTGGATTTAGCCCAGGTTCTACACTGTCCTAATAATAAACAATCGAATTGTTCTGTACTCTCTGAGAAAGAAGAGAGAGCATTGTCCAGAATGTCATTTGGGCCTAATCCTTTCAATACAGAACAGTTGAACTTGAATTTGAAAATTGACTATAAATGCACTTGAAAATCTCTACTTGATTCCCCGTACAGCAAGCACACATCCTATCCAACAAACTCCAGACACAACTCTTTTCAAGCAAATCCATCGAAGCAACATCTTCAGAAAGGTAGTCATCCAAATGGCTTCTACCTCGACCACAGGACATCTTGAAGACTTTGATATCACTATCATTGACACAACAACAATCAGCCCAACGATGACATCTCAGCCATCTTCACAGGACTTGGCAAGAATCGCGTCTACACTGGAATCTTTTGATATCACAGTCATCGGTAGAACAGTCATCACACCTACAAAGAAGAAAACAACCGTCAAGACACCCCAACCACTCGGAAAGAACTTTGCGTTCTCATTCGATATTGACGGTGTGATCTACAAGTCGGGCGAGCTATGCCCAGGGGCTTTAGAAGCCATGACCTATCTCCACGAAAACGAAATCCCTTTTATCTTCCTAACTAACGGAGGTGGAAAGATCGAAGATGAACGTGCTGCTGACATGGCCCAGAAACTAGGGATACCCATCCTCGCTTCCCAGTTCATCCAAGCACATACTCCTTTCAAGAACCAAGTCGAAACTCTGGCCGACAAGACTGTTCTTGTGCTCGGAGGCGTTGGAAACCAGTGCAGAGAAGTTGCTGAGCACTATGGCTTCAAGAGAGTCATTACCTCTGCTGACATCATCACAGCTTATCCAAACATCTATCCCTTCAACGAGATCCACAAAGACTACTTCACTAAGACGGCACGACCATTGATGACCGAAGGAAATTCCCCGCCAGAGGTTGCTGCTGTCTTCATCTACTCATCCCCCAGAGACTGGGGACTTGATCTGCAGATTCTCATCGATCTCTTCCTCTCGGAAAAAGGTAAGTTTGGCACCATGTCCCCCCTCAATGGAAACACTGAACTACCCAACAAGGGATATCTGCAAGACAGACAGCCCCATCTCTTCATGGCCAATCCCGATATCACCTTCGCCACCAAGCACAACCTTCCACGAATCTGCCAAGGCACTTTCAAACTGGCTTTGAAAGGCATGTGGTCGGGCATGACTGGAACTGAGCTCATCGACGGAGAACATTACACACAGATCGGTAAGCCTACCCAGCTCCAGTTCGAATACGGCGAGCAGGCTCTTCGTGAGGTTGCTGGGGAGGAACTAGCACGGGTATACATGGTAGGTGATGGACCTCGCTCAGACATTGCTGGTGCGAACAACTATCTGAGTCCCCATGGGACGACTTGGTCGAGCATTCTGGTTCAGACCGGAATCCATCAAGCTGGAACGGTACCAGAGCATTTGCCGACCGTCGAGGTCCCAAATGTCATGGATGCAGTGAGATGTGCTCTGGAACAAGAAGGTGTGCAAATCTAGACCGATATTTGGATTGACTGACCAGATTGCGGGAAATTTGGTGTGCTAACCTACAGGAGTTTTGGATTTACTGAGCATATTGCTGGACTATCTAGGGTAGAGATTCTAGATTCTAGAGTCTCTAAAACAAAAGTAAGTACGTAAAAAAAAAATAGAAAAAAAAAATTGGGGGCAAATTACTGTTTTTCAAATGCAATAGTAGTATTCTACTTCGTATGATCCGTGAAAATAACATATCTTCAGTGTGTAAAATGCAGCCTGTTAACTCCTAGCATTTCCTATAAGCTTTATGCTGTCACATGATCATGCTTATTGTCTTCGCTTATTTTCGCTTACAATTTCCGCGGATCCGCTCCGGACTTGGAAGCAACGCTACAGGGATCACTCGCACTGAAGTTTTACGTAACTCAGTCAATCCAAATCGTTTCCGCGAAACAAAACCTGTTTCGCTTACTCGATTTTAATTAGGGATCATGCCGAGTTGCCAGGCTGCTGAGATTCTAGAAGCGCGCTGAGGATGTCGAGATCATATCTAGATCACGATTCGTAAATATAGAATTGCCTCAGCTGCCAGCTTACATTTCCAAGATTTCAGCTCAGCTATTTCGTATGATGATAAGCATTAGTCGTCCAGCCATTAGCCAGACTGAAATACTGTATTGTCTTAGTCACAACTAACTTGTCTGAGGTTAATCATAAAGAGACTACATTGCGAATCTGTGTGACTATAGTGTAGATGTATATTGAATTGACAATTCTTTTTGCGTCATCAGAAAGGACAAATGTCCCTCACATAAGATACATAGACGAGACAGGAGACAAGAGAATACGCCATACATTGATATTCACATTACTCCTCTCCCCCCTTCCCCGCTTCCTCCCCACTCTCTCTATCTCTCTTTCTCAACTTCTCTTTCTCTCTCTATGTTGCTATGTACACCTGCCACGATATCCCCACCCAAAACCGACGCAGCGCAAGGATGTCCATGTAAAAAGAGCAAGAAACAGCAGTCAAATGACACCTACGGCCGTCCCCGCAAGCCCCTCTTCGGCGCCGGCGTTCCATTCGCAGCCATACCTAAAGAAATCTTACTTCGCATGCCGACCTTAACCGGCGTCTTCTTCTCTCCACCACTCGCAGCCGGCACTACAGCAACAGCAGCAGCAGCCTTCTTTTCCTCCTTGGTCAGCGGCATAATGGATTTGTCTCTCTGGTTTGGCTTGAATACGACCTCTTTCATATCCTCTTCACTCTTCCTTTCTTGCTCATCACTCTGAAACCTCGCCAACTCTTCCGCCCACACGACGCTTTTCTTCCCCTTCCCCTTGCTGCGTTTCTTCTCCTTCTCCCTCACCTCAAAAGCTTCCCTCACCAGCTTCTGCTTCGCAACTGGATCATCTTTCTCTTTCTCCTCACTCTTCTTCGCAGCAGCATGCAAGAAGTTAGCCGGGTGCTGTGCCGCTCCTTTGTTCTTGCGAGTATTCATTTTCGTGAGAGCCGCGAGCTCTTTATCTTCGCTGCGGCGGAGCGTAACAGTGCTCTCACCGTCTTGACCGATGCGGCGCACGGGAATAAAGGAGGGGGCGAGAGGGGCGGCTTTGATGGGGAGACGGGTGCGGCCGCTGCGGCGGATAGATCTGGGCTCTGTGATGTCGCCGTCTTTGGGGGTGGGCGAGGACATGTGGGATCGCTTTCTGCGCTTGGCGGGCGATGGGTCTGGAAGACTGGTGTCGAAGTCTTCGGTGGCTTTTGGTGAAGATGGTGAGGATACGGCGGGTACGGTCTCAAGAGGGAGTTGTATCGGTGAGTGAGGCAGCGAGCGCTTTCTCTTGGGAATTGATGTGTTTGCCTGGGCGGCTTTGTTAGCTTTGACTCGTGTGAGAAAGTCCCGAAGCATATCTGTGTCGTCGTGTTGGCAGGTTGTAGACACATTATTTTCGGAGACAGTCTTGGTGAATTCGGTGATTGTTGGAATTGATGTGGATGATTCATGAAGCTCTTTATTCACTTCCTCTGTTGGGATAGAAGGTGCGCTGTAAGCAGTATTCAGGGTGGCAGGTTCAATGAGCTCAAAGCTCTCTGCTACTTCCTCTGAGATGGAATCAGGGTGGTTGTCCGAGGCACCAGCGACATCCTGCAAAGACGAAGACTCGACGTCCGAGTCCTCTTGTAGTTCGGGCGTGGAGGTTTTGGTAACTTCCTCTACATCTGAATCCTGTAGAAGGGACTCTTCGCGCTTTGCCTGCTCTGCTATGGCAATCTCATCCATTGAGAAATGGACCTCTCCAGAAGTTGGGATCTCCTCATTTGGAATTTGAGACGAGAAATCAAGAGCATCCAGCTGTTGCCGAGGAGCACGTGCATAATTTTCTGATAGAGCATTCTCAACATCAGATGTCTTGCTTTCAATGCCGTCCATAGAGTGATGATCTTGCTCAAGTGGAGGGAGTGATTCATGAAAAAATTCAATAAACTCCTTCACTTTACTTTCTGCAACTTCGCGAACCTCCTCCGCAGATTTCGATGTAGTCGCAGCTTCGAATACTTCGGTGCCGTGGAGTTGAGCCTCGTCATCGGCGATTTTTAGAGGCGATGCTATAGTTTGCATTGCTGGATCTAATTGCTGCGCATCCTGAGCAGCTGGAGCCATGACATCCTCTTGAGCAGCAGAGCTCGAACGCAGGTTTCTCGTACTCCTTCTCGTACCACGTCGTTGAGACTTCTTCGTCTTGAATTTTGGAGTCAGCGCAGGATTGACAGGAGAAGCGTTGTCGATAGCCATGTCTTCGAATGCTGGAAGATCTGCCGTAGGAATGTGCATAGCTTGTGTAGGTGTTTGAGGATCTTGTTCTGCAAAGATCTCGGGTTCGACGGGTTGACCAGGTGAAGGTAGACGCTCTGGTGTCGAAATTTTTGCAGCATTTTGAGCAGCGGGAACCTCTGCCGAAATATCATGCTCCTCCTCGACAACTTCTTTGTTACAGTCTGAGGCTGCGGATCCCTCGAATCTCGAAATATTCTCGGGTTCTGGGAAATTCTCTTGCTGTGAAACATTTGTGTCTTCTTCGATGGTTCTCAAAGGCTCAGACTCGGCGATATCTCCATTTGCAACATCCTGGTGTCTGGTCTCGAGTTGGACCTCCATTGACAATATTTCGTGTTGAGACAAGACAGCCTCAGAAGTTTCAGCTTCAACCAAGACTGGGACGCTGCTGGTAGATTGCTGGAAAGTAGCAGGCGATTCCTTGACATCATCCTCAACTTTAGCCGTGATCGTGGTATCTGGCACCGATTCCTGAAGCATCTCGAGGTTTCCTTTCACCTTCGAAGTGAAATCAAAAGAATCTCTCCTCGGCGCCGCCACCTCCACAGTACCACCTCCCGTTTGCTCCTCAACCAAGTCTCCGTTTGCAAGCTGTCGAGATTTCCGCGTACTCTTCCTCCGTCTCGGCGTCTGTTTCGCACCCTCTTCCTCAATATCATCAGGCGGAACTGTCATCTTCTCCATCTCCCCCAAGCCCATCTGCCCCCCAGTGTGTATCACAGTACCACCATTGACATCCTTCTTCCCAAGCACCTTCCGCGGCGTGACAAGATGATTAGAATTTGTCCTCTTCCTTGGTACCACCAGTGCATCTTCATCCCACACCCCCTTCTTCATCGGGCTGCACGCTCCGTCTACCCCCGCCTCAAATCCCTCAACAACATCCCCATCATTTTCAACCCTATCAATCCACCCGGGCATCCCAATATTCTCTCTCGCGAGCGCACCCATCCCCTTCACCCTCTTCCTACTCCCATTTCCCCCCTTCTCAAGCTCAAGCTCCACCCCGATCGCGTTGTCCCTGTCCTCATCTCCAATCTTTTTCGTATTGATGCCTGGAGCTTTCTTCCATATCCTGCGGCCAGCGAGTCGCGGCGCGTGAGCTGGCACGGGGGCTCGGTCCCAGGCTTTACGGGGTTGGGTTGGTTGGGGGAGAAAGGCGTCGCGGTAGATAGACCTGGAGGCGACGGTCAGTAGTGGTCTAAAATGAATCTGTCAGAGACTTACAGTTTGCCGTCTCCGGGCCCGGAGCTTGAGGTGCTATCCATACCGATCTCGAGCAGATTGCCCAAAGAAATAAAACGCGCTTGTTTGTTGCGCGCAATGCACCTCCGCGTCCTGGCAATTCAGATCCAAAGGTCAAAGTAAATTCTTCTCTTCCCCAAGCCCTAAACACCGTAGATAGGTAAAAATGAATTCACCCGTGGCGTGGATGAATATCAATCACAATCTTGCGTCTGATCGTGGATAAGAAAAAAGGTTTGGATCGTCACGCGCATGCGAACTTCTGTTTTGTTTACTTTGACCCACTCCCCACTTTTACTTCCTTTCCTGTACTAGCGCAAGAATTTATCGAAGCTCAGTGTAACGGCGCTTCAACATCTGAACATGGCCATCACCAGTCACACATTTACCAACACACCCATACGTGATTCTTGCCACATACAAACCGCCCAACTCGAATATTGAGCCACCGCCACCTATTGATAGAGGGAAACAGGGAGGGTCACGAACGGGGAACTTGATACAGGGAAATTCCAATCCAATTCGCTTCACTTCGCGAAGACAAAAGACAGCACCCCTCCTCCAAGAAAATGCCTCCCAAAGGCTCCAGCACAGCTCTACAACCGATGCGCCTGCCTCCCCTCCCGAAACTGCGTGTCCGGAGACCGAACAGGGCGGATGCGAACCCGTGCTTGAGCATCATGAGTTCGGTGCTGAGTATGTGCTTCTTTCGTTTATCGCGCTGCCCCCCTCCCATCTATCCTCACCCCATTCGCCGTCCTCCTATTCGCCTTTTACCCGGGAAATAGAAAGAGGGAGCAATTGGAAAGAGGGAGTGATTTTGAGGACGAGATGGAAGAGGAATGATTACGGGGTGGACTTGTGAACAGAGGAGTGGAAGGATATGACATTAGAGCTTGGGAGAGAACCGGAGAGATTTAATACGAAAAGTTTCAGGCGAACTGGGGATAAGAATACATGATGGGAAAGGACGAGGGCGCGGGAGTCAAGAGATGAGGATATGCAGACGGATGGGAACGCTGGCTGCAACAATGAGACACCAGGGGAATTTATGCTAACGCGTGGTGTACACAGCGTGCTGGGCCTCGTCTGGCCACACCGTAGCAGGGTGCCAGGCCCTAGAAACGCAGTTGAGGGCATGTATGGATACACCTGTATGTTCCTTTGCCCCCAAGTCCCCCTCTCACCCTCACTTCACTCCACCATCCCCAAAATCTATCATCCCACCCCCAGAGCACCACCTCCACACTCACCGCAGGATTCCAAATAAAAAATACATTCCACACAAATCTATGAACCACGCTGATCGAAACCCCCACCCGTCTGTCTAGCGACCCAAATCCCAAAAGAAAAACACCATCAACCACCACCTCTCTCGCATGTACCCCAATATCGTCGGCCCGCGAAAGAGGAAGTAAAGATAAAAAGTGCGTCCCAACTCGAAAGAAGACCGTCATCTCTGTATTTATATCTTTCGGGTGCTTTTATTCCGCTGTTGTGTGTCTCCGGCGTGAGATACATCAAAGGCGCACGCCGAAAGAAATGGTGGGGGGAGAGAGAGAGAGGAGGGAGAGAGAGAGAGGAGGAGGGAGGGAGAAGATGGGGAAGGAGGGAGAAGAGAGGGAGAGGGGGAGAAGAGAGGAGGAGGGGAGGGAGAGAGAGA